CTACTACTACCACTACTATAACACTACCATTATTAGCGCGTGCTGCTGCGAATTGCTGCCGCTGCTGCTGCTAATACTATACTACACTACTACTACTACTACTACGAATTACTACTTACTGTATTATACTTACTACACTACTACTATACTATAATCTACTTTCTACTCACAACTACTACTACTACTACTACTACTACTACTACTTCACACTACTACTACTACACTACCACACCCACCACACCCACCCCCATCACCACCACCACCACCACCACCACCACCACCACCACCACCACCACCACCACCACCACCACCACCACCACCACCACCACCACCACCACCACCACCACCACCACACCACCACACGACTTTCTTACTACTATACTACTACTACTACTTACTTACTTACTACTTACTACTTACTACTATCCTCCACGAGGGGCCCGAACGAATTGCACCAGGGACGAGGTGCCCGAACGCCTCACGCCACGAGGAGCCCGAACGACTCACACCAGGACGAGGGGCCCGAACGACTCACACCACGAAGAGCCCGAACGACTCACACCAGAAAGAGGGGCCCGAACGACTCACACCAGGACGAAGCGCCCGAACGACTCACACCACGAGAAGCCCGAACGACTCACACCACGACGCGCGCCCCGAACGACTCACACCACGAGGAGCCCGAACGAGTCACACCCGGAGGAGGGGCCCGAACGACTCACACCAGGATGAGGGGCCCGAACAACTCACACCACGAGAAGCCCGAACGACTCACACCAGGACGAAGAGCCCGAACGACTCACACCACGAAGAGCCCGAACGACTCACACCAGGAAGAGGGGCCCGAACGACTCACACCAGGACGAGAAACCCCAAACGACTCCAACCACGAGGAGCGCTTTCTCTCCCTCCTCCTCCGCCTCGTCCTTCTCCCGCTCCCACCACAAGGAGGATGTACAAGGAGGCGGGAGGAAGGAGGAACAGGGGAGATATGCGGGGGCAGGCGGAAACACGTCTGAAAAACACGACTGTCGGCATGCTTCGCAAGAGTTGCTGTTTTGACATGGGCTGGTGGGGATACGCGAAGCGTGAAGATTTTTTCCTGGACAGGGCTGGGGCCCAGGGCTCTCTCTTAAGAATTTTACCCCCGGAATCGACTTGACAAGGGCCGGCGGAATACGTTGCGAAGAATTGGCGAAGTCGGATTCTTGATGTTAAGAATGCGTTTCGCGCGTGCCCGCTCGAGGATAATGTGCGCTGGCGGATTTGTTTGCGATGCATAGCGAGGTACAGAGCAGTGGTGTTGAAGATAACGCGTAGCATGACATAGCGTGGCGTGGCGATGCCCCAAGGTGGGGTGGCTTCCGCGGCCCAAACAATGAACGAATCGGCACCGAATGTGGAATCACTTCCGATGGTTTCTTCAGGAATCATGAAAAACAAAAAAATGTTTGGGCCTTTTTGGAAGGACCGGAAATCATGCCGTGGCATGGCATTGGAACTAATGGCACCAACGCTGCAGCGGGAGCACGATTCGGAACGAGCGGAAGGAGCACAATTCGAAAAGAGCGGTAGCCCGCAAATGAGGCCAACTCCTCAGCGAGAGCAGAATTTTGAAAAAAACGGAACCGCGGAAATGAGGACGCGTAGCCTGACATAGCATGGCGTGGCGACGCCCCAAATTGGGGGGGTCCTACGGCCCCAAAAATCAACGAATCGGCACCGAATGTGTAATCACTTCCGAAGATTTTTTTCGGGGGGCATTTCCTAAATTTTGGGTCCATTTGGAAGGACCGAAAAACGTGCTGTGGCATGGCGCTGGAAATAATGACGCCAGAGCTGCAGCAGGAGCACGATTCGGAACGAGCGGAACCGCGGAAATGAGGCCAGCGGTGCAGCGGGAGCACGATTCGGAACGAGCGGTAGCCCGCAAATGAGGCCAGCTCCTCAGCGAGAGCAGCATTTTGAAAGAAACCTCAGCGAAAACCCAACTCCTGGGAAATCCTGCGTGCAAAAGACCAGTGCGCGGAGCGGGGCCGAGCATTCCCTGGACGCCACCAGGGGAGAGAGGAGAGTAGTCTTCATATTGCTTAAGTGTGGAGGGGAAGGGACGGGAGGGGAGGGGAGGGAGGTGACGGCGAGGCGGGAACCCGCGAGGCAGGGGCGCGGCTGACGAGGAGGGAGAAGACCGCGGCCGCGGCGAGGAGACGCCCGCCGCCGGACCGCAGAGAGCTGCCGCTGCTGGGGCGCGGGCGGAGTCCGCCGGGAGCTCCCCGGCGGCCTGGGCGCGGGCGGCGGCAAGGGCGCGCGGGGGGGAGGGGGGGGCGCAGGGGCAGGTTGGGGGAGGGCGGGGGGGGGGGCTCAGAGGGAGGGGGGGGAAGGGAGAGAAGGAGGGAGGCAAGAGGGAGGGAGGGGGGGAATTGGGAGGGCTTGAGGACTCGAGGGCAGAGGGCAGCGCAGTCGGCTCGGCCGCCGCGCCCCCCCGCGCCAGCACCCCCGCGCAGGCTCGTGAGGTCGCGAGGCCGCCCTGGAGACACAGCGGACCCCACGTCCCTACCACTCCATGCGAGGCGGGGGTTTATCCAGATCCACCGCCTGGGAAGCGACGCCCTGGTGCCCCAGCGGGCGGTGGATATGGATATATTTTGGCGGCCGGGGGCCCGAATATATGTTGGCCCCCCGGGGGCCACTCCAGGGCAGAATGTTGGTCGCCCGGGTTACCTGGGATAACTCGGGTCCGGGGTAATTAACTCGGGTTCGGAACCCCGACAAGCGAACCCGAGTTAGCCCTGACCCGAATTACCCCTGATGATTTGGGGCCCTGGACGCCCGAGTTATCCGGGGTAATTCGGGCCCTGGGTAACTCGGGTATGGATTTCCGAAAAAAAACGAACCCGAGTTAGCCCTGACCCGAGTTACCCCTGATGACTTGGGGCCCTGGACGCCCGAATTTTCCGTGGTAGCTCGGGCCCGGGGTAACTCTGGTTCGGAATCCCGAAAAGCGAACCCAAGTTAGCCCTGACCCGAGTTACCCCTGATGATTCGGGGCTTTGAGAATATATCTGCGGTGCTGAAGCCCCGAGTCTCGAACACAACCACGGCGTCGTCACATATGTATCTCATTCATCGTGTCGAGCTCCCGCAGCACATGGACGTAGAAGACATGGAGGCAGTGGCTCTGGGAGGTTGCCCAAGCACGCCGCCCACGACAACATACTAGTGAGGCTTAAGGATGCGCCGGCAGTGAACGTTCAATGCGATGCTCGCCTGGTTGGCGCCAACGCGTCCATTCTCCCGCGCAGCTAACAACCGCAGAATGAGGCTGCCAACTCACAAGCGGCACCCTCTCATCACAAGGATGCTGAAGCCACCAAGCCACGCGCTCTTGACGCGTGAGTTGTAATGCCTTGAGCTAAACACCGCGAGGTAGGACGACGACGCCATGCAACGAGCCCTCCAATGCAGACAAAAGCGCCCCGCAGCTGCGCACCTCATCTCCTTCCTCAAGAAGACCGCCATTGCGGGAAAAACAAACAGCATGTGGGGTATGCCTGGCCCAAGAAGCTCTCCCTTCCCACAATGCTGCAACCACCACGTGCTTGACATACTTTGAACCACCAGCATCTACTCAAAGGTCGGTCGCGTATTTTTCCGGAGCAGCCTTCGGAACAAAATGCCGACCGTCGTGCAAAACAGCCCAAGGTGTACTGTATTCACGGGTTCAACAACACAAATGATAAATAGCGAAAGCCTGGAATAATGGGGCATGCCTGACCAAAAAGGCTAACTCGTCCCACGTTGCCGCTGCACGCCCGCTGTGGTGCTCACCTGCCCCTGGGACTTGCAATCGATTTTGGGGACGTAGTGGTCGACCTCCTAGTCCGTAGCCTGGAGATAAAACAAACAAAACAACTTTCAGCTGCGCGACGCCTGGCGCTTCCCAACAAGTCCGAGGCTGGGTCAAACATGCTGCCTGCGGATCTAACCCCACACGGTGCGGATTGCACGGCCACCTGGTTCGAGCCAGCTCGTGAGCCAAACTGGTCTGAACCAAATCTTACTCGAGACGGAGTTAGGATGAGGAGAAGGAGGAGGAGGAAGAAGGAGGAGGAGGAGGAGGGGGAGGAGGAAGAGGAGGAGGAGGAGGAGGAGGAGGAGGAGGAGGAGGAGGCGGAGGATGGAGGAGGATAGGAGCCGCACGAGGAGGCAGAGGGGAGGAGCAGCAGGGAGGAGGAGGAGGAGCGGGAGGAGGAGAAGAGGAGAAAGGAGGAGGAGAAGGAGGAGGAAGCCCGCGCGCCCCGAGGAGAGTCCGCCATACGCCTCTCTAGGCGCCGCGCGCGGCGGGGCCCGTCAAGGAGCAGGACCGTTCTTCGACTGGGCGCACCCACATTCAGCCAGAGGTCGCGACGAGAGGCCGGGGAAGCAACGCGGACCACCCGAGGGGAACGGTGCCTATATGCAACATAATACCCCTAATAATAAATATAATATCTCCCACCTCCTATACCTCCACCCTAATAAATAAAAAGCCCTACTCTCCTAGCCACTAACACATACTTACATTAAAAAACAACATAATACTACATCAACGTAACTAAATAAGCAGGATACTCATAATTAACCGACTCCCTCCTCCCCCGCCCTTCCCTCCTCACCCCCCCTTTTTCCTCCTTCCATTCGACCCTCCCCGTCCTCATCCTTTTTTTCCCCCTCTTCCTCCTCCCCCTCCTATCGCTGCGGCCAGGCCGTCGGGGGTAGGGGATGAACTCGCCCATGCCCGAGACGAACACGTGGGCCAGGTGGACGAGCCTGGGCGCTCGCGAGCACCTCTGCGAACGAGTCCTGCGCCTCCTCATCCGCAGCCGCTGCAGACAAAATTCGGTGATCGACGCGCCGACCTGCTCAAACGACTTAGCATGCATGTCCATCGGATCCAGGGGGGACGTCGCATCATCCTCGTCCGACATGGCCATCATCATGCATTGGTTGAGTGGGTCGACCTGCTGCGAGCTAGCCAGCGCCATCCCCGACGAGTTCGAAGAAAGGTGGCGAAGGCGGCAAATCCGCCTGACCAGCATGGACAGGCTCATGAGCACCCATCTGACCATCACAGAAGAGATTGGCGACGTCATTGGGGCCGCCCACAACGGTAGGGGAATCCGGAGCCACAGCACCTCCAGGTGAATGAGCAAGAAGGTCAGCGAGATCTCCACTGGACACGACATCATATCCATCAAACTGGGGATCATCTTCGTTGTGCGCTCGCTCATCTGTCTCCGTTTCGTCGATTGGATCATCGAGTCAAGGGAACGGTTCAGCAACGCCCTGTGCAGGGTAGCGGCCCGTGTTTTCCAGCACAGGTTCGCCTTGGGCAGTTTGATCTTCATGTGATCGAGGCGGCTGTTCAGCGTCGGTGGCCAATCCACCAGGGACCGGTACATCATCGTAAAGAACAGCATCAGGAAAAGCTGCGTCCTCCGCAAGGATAGATGGTCTGCCGTCAGGTGTGCCGCCCGATCTCCGCGCTACACTCAAGAGAGCCTCAATGAGCGACATCTAGAACCTCCCAGTCGATTTGCGCGCGAGGCTGGGGAGGTGCTGGGTCAGTTGAGCGTCCCGCAGGCCAAGACGAAGCAGCATTCCAAGCAGTGGGTGTCAGTCCACCAGGGGGAGCCGACTTGAAGACGTAGTCAAGCTGCTCGTCTGACATAGCGTCGTCCTCGTGCATCACTGAAGCCGGCGGCCCAGAGGAACTCGCAATCGCCAACTCAGCCATGACTTCGATATCCACTTCAGTAGGAGATATCACCCGCGAAGTGCCAAGTTCACAAAGACGGCGGATCGGAGACGACAGCGGAGAGAGCGGTGGCAACGCACTGGAAGAAGGCACCGAACTAAAGTCACTGGTGACGAACCAACAACACACAACCATACCCATAGGGGGATCGGAGAGGGCTATGTGTGCGTGTTGTCAGATGGGGGTCCCCGCTCGGGCGGGAGCATTCCCCGGGGTCCGACAACCCGCACCTATACCCATAGCCAGTCCTCCTCCCAACGACCCAGTATGGGTATGGGTATGGGTGCGTTTTGTTGGCTCGTCAACTGAGGTTCATGCCCTCCAGGCTGTGGAGGCTCACAGCCCTCAGTGCGCCGGCAGGCCAAGGCAGCGCCAGACCACGGCCAACTTGACGAAGCAAGCGAGCCCGAAGATCAAGCGGCATCTTGGACGGGTCAGGGGCTCATTGGACCGGCGCGAGGAGGAGGAGGAGGAGGAGGAGGAGGAAGAGAAGGAGCAAAAGGAGGAGGAGGAGGAGGAGGAGGAGGATGATGACGACGTAGACTGGGAGGAGCCAGCGGAGGAGTAGGAGGAGGGGGAAGGAGGAGGCAAGGTAGGGGCCTCCAGCACTCCTTCAGTTGCATTGCCGCAAACTGGTGGGGACCTTGATGGGGACGATGGCTGGGGTCAACGGGTGTGAGGAGGAGAAGGGTTCAGGGTCACCTTCAAGCATTTGCAGCCCACTCTGCCCACGTCTCGGCATGCATTTTGGACATAAAAAAACACGATCTGGGCACGAATCAGACTAGAGGCAGAGGTGGGCTTAGAAGAAAATCGCTCTAGACGGCACTTGGAAGAAAGACATGTGGGCATCCAGTGGAGTTCGTTCCCTGCTCCCACCTTGGGACACCCACCTCTACGAACCCCCGGATTGACAGCCCCAGAGATAATCCAAGCTGGCCTCAATAAACCCCCAAGGTGGCCTAGAGCAGTGTAAACACCTTTCCCTTTTCGATGAATGCATTGGCTAGGACCGCGCAAATTCAAGGCAGGGCAGCGCAAGCGCATCAGGGACCGAGGCCCTCCTGGTGGGCATATCCCTCCTCCCTCCGCCACCCTCGCTTCCAGGCGAGAGCCGAGCGATACCAAGCCGCCCGCGGGGTGGCCCGCAGAGGCCAGGCTGCTCGAGGCGCGTGGTACGACTTGCATCTGCCTGGAAGCGAAAGCGGAGTGGGCAATCCACCCTCAGAGCGTCACTGGCCGGGCCGCACCTCAGAAGAGGTCTAGCAGGCCCCCGCCCTGGCCGCCAGCCGGCGCGGCCTGCGCGGCCGGCGCCGTCTGCGGCAGCGCCGCCGCCGGCGCCGGCGCGCCAAAGGCGGCGTCCAGCCCTGCCAGGTCGAGGTCCAGCAGGCCGCCGCCCGCGGCGGCCGTGGGGGCCCGCAGCTGCGGCGCCGCCTGCGGCGCCGCCGCGGCCTCGAGGCCGCCGAGGTCCAGCAGGCTGCCGCCCGGCAGCGGCGCGGGCGGCGCGGCGGCCGCGGCCGCCCCCGCGGAGGAGCCGGCGAGCCCGAGGTCCAGCAGCACGTCCACGGCCGCAACTGCGGGCGCCGCAGCAGCGGGCGCCACCGCGGCCGGCGCCGGCGCTGCGGGGGCGTCCAGCGACAGGAGGTCGTGGCCGCCCGCGGGCGCGGCGGGCGCCGGGGCCGCGGCGGGCGCGGGGCCGCCCAAGTCGAGCAGGTCTGGCGCCTGGGCCTGCGCGGGCGGCGCGGCGGCTGGTGTGGCCCTCCTCTTCTTCATCTCCTGGACGAAGACGGGGCGGAACTGCTCGTGCAGGCGGGGCATGTTCCTGGAGAACCAGTCGTCGCTGATCGAGGAAGAGAGAATGGTAATTATCAACATAGACTTTCGCAGTTCCGCGTCATCAGCAGCAGCACCAGCAGCAGCACCACCACCAGCACCACCAGCACTATCAGCTGCACCAGCAGCACCACCACCAGCAGCAAAAGCACTAGCAGCAGCACCAGCAGCACCATAATCAGCACCACCAGCAGCAGCAGCATCACCAACACCAACACCAGCGCCAGCAGCAGCACCAGCAGCACCAGCAGCAACACGAGAACCAGCAGCACCAGCACCAGCAGCACCATCAGCAACAGCAGCAGCAGCACCAACAACAGCACCACCAGCAGCGATAACACCAGCAGCAGCACAAGCAGCAGCACCAGCCCAGCAGCGCAGCAGCAGCACAACCACCACCAGCAGCACGAGAACCAGCAACACCAGCAGCAACACAGAACCAGTGTAAGCAACAACAGCACCAGCAGCAGAACCCGAGCTCTTCGCTACCAGACGTCTCCCAATCTAGCGTTGTTGCCCGCGCTGGTTCATGTCTTCTCCCGTCAACTCTCCTGAGCAATGTTGCTGGTGAGGAAACGCGAAGCGTCAAGAATGTATCGCGACAGCCTGGCGATACGTGGCCCATACGTGCTCATGAGCGCGGAGGTCTGGGGCGGAGGGGGTGTGCGCCGAGGAGGGTGCAACCGATGTAGACCGTGCTGGGGATGCTGGCGGGCGCGGAGGGTGGTGTGACCATGAGAGGTGAAGGGCGCAGGAGGAGGCGGTGGCGGGGGGCCTACAAAAAAACACGCAAGTGAACAAATCAACAAACTACCTCGATTGACAACACAGCAAACCTTGTGTAGGCGAGGCGCACCGAGAAGTGCGGCCGCGAACGGAATAACAGTCCAGGAACATGAAAGACCAAATTGTGTCGCGATCCAAACAGCCCTTTAGCGGCCACTGCGTGGTCTAGGGGGCAATCGTTCTCCCAAACCACTCTCCTGCTCCTTCGGGAAAAGGTTTCCCCCCCACCAACCCCCCCTTCCCCCCCCACCCCCCCCCCCCCCCCCTACCCCCCCCCCCCCCCCCCCCCCCCCCCCCACCCCCCCCACCCCCCCCCCACCCCCCCCACCCCCCCACCCCCCCCCCCCCTCATCCTCACCCCCTGGGCCTGGAGGGTGGCGCGGCGCCCCGCGTGCCGTTAGAGCGCCCAAGGTGGCTCAAGATGGCTCCCTAGAGGGCTCCAGGCACACTGTGGCCTCCAAGGTCGTGCAAGATAGCCAAAGATGTTTCAATGTAGCTATCAACATGCATTAGCTCTCGAGATCGCCCCAGAACGGCACGCCCCAAGACTGCTCTCAAGATACCAAAATCATTCAAACCCATTGCGTGTTCAATGTGGACTCTGCTTTGCGCAATCACCTTTTCGCGCCCGATCTGCTCTTGAGGCATCAACGTTGCTCGAGGATTGGCCCAGAGGAGCAAACGAGCGTAAAGGCAGTTTCAAACGCGCCAGGGACCGCAGCAAGAGCGACCCAAGATGCACCCCGTAACGTTATTTTCGGGTCCCGACGGTGGGGCGCACTTAGAGTGCCACCCTCCCCCATTGCATTGATGGCCTCCAGGCTGTCACCAAGAGAGTCACTATAAAGGGCCGCAATGCCTCCAGGAGGCCCAAAGAAAGCCCCAAGAAAGCCCCTAGAGAACCCCAAGATTGCCCAATCTGCATCCAAGATGGCACCCTCATGACCCCCAAGGCCTCCAAGAGAACACCAAGACCGCTCCGCGAGCCCAAGAGAGCACCACGAGAGCACCAAGAGGGCCACAGAACCCAGCATGGAACCAGGGCCCCGCGATGGCACCAAGAGGCCTCCACGACGCACTCAGAGCAAACGATATGCAAATACGTTGATGGTCGACTCCCGTCGCCGTCGTCTTCGTCGGTCTCGTCGTCGCGTCCGTCGTCCCATGTTTCTCGTATTCATCCGAATCCTCATCCTCAACCTCTCCCCATCAGCTTCCTCCTCCTGCTGCCGCTGCTACATGTACTCATCATCCACGTCTTCATCGCCCCCCCTGCGTCAACATGCGCACGTGCTCGAAACGGGGTGCAGCGAGCGCAAGGTGGTCACGTAGGTGACAAGACGGATGCCGCAACATCCCTCATCAAGGCAACTCGCCCGGCGATCGTGTTTGGATGGGCTGGTGTGGATATATATTCGAAGCGTGAAGAATTGAGTACTAAGCCATGGCCAGTACAAAAACAAACTCGCCCGACGGCGGGCCAACAACCCCTGAGCTCACCTAACCCCGCCCCTCCCCCCCTCCCCACATGGAGCCCCCGCCACATCCCCGAACTTCCAAGCGCGGTTTCAGCCTCGGCAGGGCCACGCTCTCCCGAACTCTGGGCGCCCAGATCTGCAGAAACACATGGAACCAAGGGCGACGACAGCCCTCCTCCCTCCCCTGCACCCCGTCCACGCCCACATCCAGTGGCAGTAGTCCAACCCTCGGCTGGAGTAGGCTTCATAAACCTATGATTGCGATGAGGAGGATGAGGAGGAGACGATGTCAGCGGGCGGCCGGCTTTGATATCAAGGTGCATGCCTCTCGTATCCTAGTTTGACTCCCATCCTGTCCTCACCACCTCACCATCCCATAATACATGTCTCGCCGCATGCGGCGAAGTGCATGCACCCCCTCCTCTGAGGGCACACGACACTCGCAAGAACGTAAGGCCTGGGCGTCGCGCTGTCCGCGGCACCAGACGCGAAAAAAATCGAGTTGTGTCACCGACAATGATCTCACATGGCGCTTCAGCGCTTCGGTCCTCTCCCTTCTCACCTTCCCTCACCTCCCCTCCACCCATATGTATGCGCTCTCTCCCCTGCGTGGGAGACACGCCCCACAGACAACGTAAGGTCAAACTGTCGGTGTCAGCATAGAATGTACTGCCGCCGCCCGTGTAGCTGGATGCTGGATCCGACCTAGCCCATGAAGGGCAAGCAGAAAGGCTAAGTGCATCCAGGAGGTTAGACCCGCTCGGATACATGCTGTTCTGGGGGTACCGTGAGGGCACCTGGTGGTTCCATGTGCGCATCTAGGCCCTCCAGGGCTATCGTGGAGGCTAGCTCTAGATGCAGTTTTGGGGCAGCCGAACACATGAAGGTTTAACTTACACGTTCACCCCTCACCCAACCCCACCCCCTCGGGAGCTACAAGGGTTGCCTCTTGGGGCCCAGATGCGCTCTTGGGAAGGCCATTCGTATTATTCTGGTTCACAGAAGTTCTTTTTGGGCCCACGTTGATGCCGACTGTACATCTGGATGTCGACGCACGCTGTATTGCAGGGCGGTAGGGTGTGAATTGGTGATACGGTGTAGCCCCCATCCCCGAAGAAATGAGCGAATGCGCGTGGAAGGGAGGTCCACCACACTTCCTCACGGGGGTCAACGTCAACTGGTCCGCAGAAGTGTCGGGCCAAGGTTATTGGAGAATGAGGGGAGGAGGAGTGGGTGGAGGGATGAGGGATGATGGAGGATGGGTTCGGATTGTCAATGGCTTGATGAGAAGGAGAAGGAGAATAATGTCAAGTAGAAATGAGAGGGGCGATAAGGGCGATGAATGGGCGGATGAGGAGGAGGACGAGGAAGAGAAGAGCGTAGAGGGCGCCAAGTGTTCAGAGCGTTTCTTGTTCCGCCTAATAAACTAAGCATAGGGGGTGGCGGTGGCACGCGAAGCGCCCGTCCTTACTGGGGGCCATCCTCGATGACGACGCTGC